CATGCTTAGTTCCTTATTTGTTCTTACTAATTCATTTTAAATTCTGCATTGTTATTCATTTGTAAGAATTTAGTAGTAATTTATTCATCATTATTAATCTTATCTTTACTAATTATTTCTCAGGCACACTATTTCCTTGGTTCAGTTTCCTATGCTGACTCTCCATTATGGAAACATTCTATATAGCTTCAGAAACTGCTACTCAGCCTTCCTAGGAATTGCTACCATTACCATGACCATGACATTGTATGGGTAAAGTAAGAAGAGCTCCCTCCAAGGGATATCTTAAGGGACGCCAGGAGGCGACAAATACATTCAAGTTCTACCAGCTAATCCCTCTGGAGCAATTTCAGGCAGATGAGACTCTGAAAAGAAGGATCCTTTAGGGCCTTACAGCTTCTATTTATGCTTGATTTCCCTTGCACATTCTGCACTCCTGGCAGTCCCCTCTAACCACACAGGCATACTGTTGCCTGCTTACCCCACTGCCTAAACAGCACCTGCCATGGCCAGAGGAGGGTGCACTGTGTGAAGGTGCCAAGGGGTGCCAAATTGCCATTTCTGCTGACTTCTCTCCTCAGATCACTCACAGGTGGCAGCAGCAGCCATGACCAACAGAAAGAACATATGGCCTACACACTAACACCCAAGAAAAACCGTTCAAGCTTTCTAGGGGAAAGAAAAATACAACAGAATGACTGGAATATACATGGAAATCATGGCAGCCTACAGTACTGCAGATCTAACTTGGTCACCAAAGAGCATGTATAAGAGAGGAAAATGCACCATTGTCTGCATTTATACCAGCAAGTTCACTTTGCATGCACAGGTACAGCCTTCAAGAAGGCAGCACTTTTAGTGCCTTTATCACCCTTGAATCCCCAGTTAGGCTGGACTTATAAAGTAAGAGCTTTAACTCTATTTCAGGAAAAAAAAATATTCTTCTTTTAGGAAACCTTCTCCCTATAGCAATGGCTGTTTTAATTTGTATTACAGAAATCTATCCATTTTATGGATTGTGTGCACATCTGTATTTAGCTCTAGCCTCACTGAAACCAGCAATATGCCTTAATTTGTTGCTTAGCCTAGGCAAAACCATACTACCACAAAGATTTCATATACTCTTCCTAGCCACTCTCCATGACAGTTACAGTGCATATCAGAAGGAACTAGAACTCACTGTTTATGTAGTGAGAATGAATTATTAGAGCAATCCTCTTAGTTGCTCTTCTGTCTCCTTCCCCAGCTGAGATGGAGGCATTTGATGCATCTGATGACTGAGTCTTCATCTGATGTCTAAGTTTGTCTCTTCTGATGCATTCAAGCATCCAGGCAAACAGCTTAAACCACAGCTAACTTGACTTTGAAATGGAATTCAGGACGAGGAACTGGGCCCACAGTGGGCTGCTGGTTTTAGCTGGGAAACAGCTCTGTTGGCTGCCTCCTAGCTGAAGCTCACATCTGCTGGTGCAAATGTTTCTTCTCTGTTTTGCTTCTTCAGTCAAGTTTATGCAGTGGTTCTGAGTTCAGTAAGGAAGGGCAGAAACTGATATCACCCTTCTACACTTAGCCAGCAACTGCTGCAACCACATCGATGAGACTTTCTTCTCTGCTGTCTTTCACTGGTGAGACATCCAATAATCAGCGCTCGAATAATGTAGAAAAAAAAGTGGCTCCCTGTGTAGCCACAAGTCTTCCTTGGGAACTGCCATCTATTTGTGGTTAAGTTAATTTTTCAGTGTTACACTGGAACACAGAAGAGGATGAACACAGCAGTCTTGACTGGAAAACAGCAACTACAGCTGAAAGATAAGTCCCCAGGTTGATAGAATCCCACCAGTTCCTAGTGTGAACATATGACTGGCATGTCCATAAGCTCATTCTGTATAAGCCCAAGGCAGGGGACTAAGTCACACATTTAATGGAGTTAAGCAAAGATATTTTCCCATTTTAGGGCACTTTTCACTTTTTTTTTTTTAATCTTGGCTGATGAAACTTTTTATGTTTACGAAAATACTGAAAAAAAAATCTTTCCATCTAATTCTTCTGACATATCACTTGTTTCTACTTCTGGACTTTTTATAACCCCATCTCTCTTATCTCCCTTTTTCCTTGGCTACTGTATTTTCTATTTGCACCTCTTTCACTCAAACTCTTTCATTTAGCTAGGATTCTCTTGTCCACAGCTATTCACCCCTTCCTCCTCAGTTCAGGCAAACCTGATAAACCTGCAAATGTATAAAAATAATCCACATCAGAGCTAATATACTACTTATTACTCATGGTTTAGGACCATAGTATTTTTGTGCTGAGACCTCTGTGATAACTCAAGTCCACTTGAATACTCAGAAAAGAGCCTCAAGTGTCTTATCCCACCTTTCTATAGAGTACAAGCAATAAATAAGCAATAGTCTATAATTATTGACACTCCAGTTAGGAATACGTTATCCATTCTGAGGCTCCTTGTTTCCTCCCCCTAATTTGTTCTGAAAGGGGAACATGAGGCCCTAAAAGAAGAAAATGCTAAATTTTAATCCTTGCTGATGTGGGGCAATATTAAAATAGGTTGCAAGAAGCCTAGATTTGGTTAATACACTCCTGTCAGTCCTTACCACCATGACTTACTGGGATGTATGAGACCTGTCTTAATCTACCTGAAACTGGCTTTCCTATCCTCACTTTTTCACACCTCCTTGATTTGCTATTTTAGAAATTAACAGCACCTGCATAAACATTATAAAAGCATCCTTTTAAATAAAAGATTCTCTTCTATGTTTTACAGGAAGCGTTAAAAAGTTTCATTCCTAGAGTAGAAAAGGAATAAAGTATTTTACAGCCATGTTACAGTGGAGCATAGCCTGTCATGATCTAATTCAGATATTATACACACAAGAATGACAGTTCTGAGCTATGACTGCTAAAAATGACATACAAAACAGGTTTGAAGCTCCTTCTTATATGCTAAGAAAGGAGTTGTAAGGAGAAGAAAAATGGGGGGTCATAGCATATGGTATTGAAAGGAAAGGTTCTCTCTAAGTAAAGAATACAATCTGAGGAAAAAATATTAAACTGCTGAAAAGGAAGAGGCCAGTTCTGTCAAAGACCTTTGAATTAACAGAACAAATGTCACCAAAAAAGAAAACTTCAGGGTAACGACCACCTTGAAATAAGAATATTATTCTGACAAAGGCCAGAGAGCGCAGAATTGCAAATAGTTATCTGGGATGCACCAAACTGCTAAATAAAAGAACGTAACACTTAGCATTTTGAAGGGAGAAGGACCGGGGGGAAAGGGAAGGGAATCCTGGCGCTTTTTGAAGTAAACAGCAAAATTCTCATTCACTTTGTTAAATCAGAACTTCATTCCTTGATTGAAAAAGAGAGAAGTTTTGAAGTTGGAGCAAGAGATGGATGAGCCAGTATTTGGGCCACAGATTTCAGGAGTGTAGGATTCAGAAAATGCAGGCAAAGAGATTAGGAGTGAAACTAATAAATGAGCTGGTCCTCCTAATTTAGAACTCCTAAATTCTGTCACGTCATCTTGAAATTGAAAATGTGCAACTGACTGGATTTCCCAACCACTGTCTTTCTAAACATGGACATTGTTGAGTTACTCAGCAAAATAAAAATTTCACACAATGACAATTGCTATGACATCACAGAAAAAAATTACGGCTTCACAGGCCCCACTACTAAGAAAATAGTATATTTAAGAAATATATTTCCAAGCACTTATTTTGCCTAGAGTAAAAATATTTCAGCTTGGCTTTATCGATCTGAAACTCATTTCTGAATTCCAAACATTATTGCTGCAGTATAATATACTATATGAATATAGGACAAGCAGATAAATAAATTTGATACATATATTTTGTTAATATGATAAATACGAAAGCACTGTTAATGTGGAACATTCTGTTATAGAATGGCATTTTCATATATAAAGACAGATTAGGAAAATATCTGTTAAAAATTACTGAAAAATGCAGTTTTTGAGAAACTTCATACTAATTGAGAAATAACTACATTGTTTTCCATGTTAAATTTAGAATTAGTAAATTCTTTCTTTCAAACAAGTACAGAAATCTGATGTATATGTACTTCTTACTTTGTGAAAATGTTTCACATATACACTATTTTGTTACTAACAGTATTGCATTCAGCACCATTCATATCTGAGTAATATCACTGAGAAGAAAGAAACTAATGAATGCGGATCAAGATCAATGAAGTAGTCTATTGCTTACATGGTAAAAAGTAGCCTGGATGAGAGAAAACACTAGTTTTGTAAGTTGCGGCACTTCTATGAGCAAACAACATATTTTTCTGCTCTGTTAACAGTTAAATCAGTGGGAGCTGCTGGATGTGCAATACTTGGAAAAATTAGTCCACTCAGTCAGTTTCCTGAAGTAGCCTAATTCCACATCCTCTATTTCTCTTTGAATCTCAGTCAATGTATTTTGAAGTTGGAACGTCTGAATAGGGATAAAGGGGGATATTCAGAACAATCTCTTGTTGATAACCTAATGCCCACACTGGTCTTACAACATTTTCCCCCAATTCATTGTATTTAAAAAACAAACTGAAGGTTAAAATTGAATCAAAAGATAAAGATTTTATACCATGGGAGAGTAAGCCTTTTCTTTGCAGACAGTAGTATTTCCAAATAATAAGTAGGATAACAAATATGATACCACAGAGCAACTTTTCTGTGGCAAAATGATTTGTTTCTGTCATCTCTCTGTTTTTATAAGGAGCGAAGGGTTCCTGAGCTCATGAAATTCTTAAATTTTCAATTCTTCAGTTACACTTTCTTTTCAGTAGATACTCCCATCGTAATGGGAAGCGTATACATTACAAACCACTAAAGTGAAATCAAAATATTCATCATTCACTGAGGAACAAATATATTTGACATTGCTTAAATTCTTTAGTGTGCGCTGGATGTTGACAGTAATGAACGTTCTATTTCAATTAAATATTTTCTTTGTTATAACAAGGAAAGTTTACATGCATTGAAGTCCGATTTCACCTGGAAAGGCAAATGGGTTACTATCTCATCCAGATGTACATACCAAGTCTCTTGATCGTCATTCTCTCCTGGGTGTCATTTTGGATCAATATGGATGCAGCTCCTGCCAGAGTGGCTTTAGGCATAACAACTGTACTGACCATGACAACACAAAGCTCAGGCTCACGAGCATCACTTCCAAAGGTAGGCAGAATTTCCTCTGTTTGCGCTGCATTAGTACAAAGTGATAACGCTATTTGACAAAAACATTTCTAGTTACTCTCTCGATATCAGCTCTGATTATTAGCATATAAGTATTTTTTGAAGGAAAGGAGATAAATCACTTTGAAATATTTAGGGGTTTTTTGAGCTACCAATCAATTATACACTACTTCTCTCCTGACTCAACTATTTAGCCAAGTTCATATCTCCTACAATTCCATAAAACTCAGCAAGGGATGAAAGCAGGAAGTTATTCAGTACTACATATATGCTACTTTTGCTTTTGACTAGCTTATCCTTTTCTAAATCCTAATATCTGATGATGTGCTAGCAAATATGATGACCGGTCATAGATTCAGATCTGCTGTTAGTCATCTTGCTTGTCCAGAAACTGCCTACATTATGAATTTATCCACAGTAATTAATGCCTAAATTACAAACGTAGTCAATTCCTCCTCTTGATTCTCAAAACAAAGTTGTTTGCCTAGCCACAGAACAGCTGTTTCCATCCAGTCAGCTGTTCTAATGCAGCAACTGCTACATCTATTCTTTATTTTGACTACTCCCTCACTTTTACTTGCTCACAATATAGTGAGCACACTTGATAAGAGTGAAGGAACAAAAACAGGTATAATCCTAAAATATGTAAAAAATGCATTTTTTAGATCAACAAATAGATACGGTGGAAATGGTCAGACTGGGCCATTATATAAAGCTAAACCATGTCATCTGTCATAGCTGAGAATGTAGTATACCAGATGGAGTGACCAAGCATCCCATTTTAATGAGATAATCCCTCTCTCAAGAGGGAGCCTGGGAAAGTCACCCATTCTTAGCACCATAACAAATAAAGGAGACTCTTGCTTTATGAACAGTTAAAAAAGAAAAAAAGTGAAGCTAAATAGGTTCCAAATAAGTGTATAAAGAATGGTTCACTACACAATGTAAAGTATACATTGTGTAGTGTGTACATTGTAAAGTTTAAAGTATATTTCTGTGATTAACTTTTTGAGTCTCCTGACCTGTCATTGCTTTAAATACTTTCTTTTGTATTGCAAGGGTTATTCCTTTACCATCTTCATGTGCCATTGCACTGAATGGAAATAGAATAGAATAATATAGAATAAAAATACATAAGTTACACTTCTATATTAGCTCTAATACTGTATTTTTAGGTTGGCTGAGTAGCATTTTTTTTAACTAAAACAGAAATCCCTAACAGGTGAATATGCTTTGCACTTCAAATACATTGACCCTGTAACATCTGAATGTAGCATTGACAGATGAGAAAATTGAACACTATAGAAACTCAGAAAAGCAAGAACGTACCAACAAGTTGCTAGAGATGTTTTTGTCATATTTTTGAGGCCTGATGAGGCCTGAGGCCTACATTGAATGATAAAGCTGTTGCACACAGATGTACCTTATCTTGTAAAGGATACCGCTCTTGCACACTGAGAGAGAACAGGTTCTACTTTCCCAGTACAGAATATATCCTGCACTTGAGCTTCACAATAATGAAGGACTGCAGTGAGCTCCTCTATTCTGCAACTGATTTTCCATACTTCTACTGTGTCAAAATTACAGGACTAGTTTGAAAGCATATCTTTGTTTTACCATGCCTATACTAGCAGCGAATGAACATGTCAGAGTTCTCTATCTCCCTTCTTCAAGGTAATTTCTCTGCCAGGAGCTTTAAATCAGACTCTTCACAACAGGAGAATTCCCACTGGTCCCACTACAAGCTATTCTCTAATTCCTTAGTATCATTCACTTATTATATTGGGAGAAATGGAACAGCATATGTTTCTTGTGGATTATTCAGTTTATGATTATTCAGTTTACAGTACATTAAGATGTAAACGAGGTAAGACATAAATAAATACTTGTGAAAGGATATATTTAAAAAAATAAAATTTAAGGTGTACAGATTGCATTGTTGGCCCTCTTATTATCTAGCTAACTTTCATGTTAAGTTCTGTTTGATCAAAATAGTCTTGAGCTCTGGAGATACTAATGCACTTCCCCCTGACATTATGAAATACTAAACTCCACATCTGTGTTTTTAACATTTTCAGTCTTCTGCTCTATTTTCTCCATAGGTGTCATATGTCAAAGCGATTGACATCTGGATGGCTGTGTGTCTGCTCTTTGTATTTTCTGCACTTCTGGAATATGCAGCTGTAAACTTTGTGTCAAGGCAGCATAAAGAACTTCTGCGATTCCGCCGGAAGAGGAAGAAGAACAAGGTAAAACTAGCAGTATTAACAACTCTGAAGGATAGTCAAAGGAATTGATTTATGCCAGGATATAGGTTTTACTTGGTAAACATAGTGCTGTTTAAAGGGGCTGTATAAATAAAATGGCAGCACAGAATGAAATCCACTCTAGGTAGAGGGTCACTACAAGGACTATGCATTGCATAAATCGAATCTGAATTTTTGAAAGAGGGATTAAGAGGGATTTAAATGAGGCATGGGCCATGTGGGAGCCATCTGCACAGGCATGAATTTCACTCTGTTAGAAGAGTAAGATTATTCTTCAGAGAATGACTGTTGCTGGTACATGCAGCATGTTGTACTGCACTGAGATTCAACCAAAAATATTTCTTAGCTTGTTTCTAGAGTTCAGTTCAAAGTCTTAACAGCTGTGTTTCATGTAAATATTTTTAATATAAAAATCACTTTTTCAATTATTTTTTTGGTGGAAGAACAAACATTTTACTTTACAAGGCTAACTGAGGAAGATTTTTTCCTTCTGTCATATTAACTGACTTTAGTGTAAATTGTTCATACAATTAGTAAGGGATTTTAATGGAGCAATGGATATTAATATTTATTTTATAGCTGAAACTATCTAGACTACTTGTAAAATAAGTCACTGCTAATGTTGTATAAAGTCAAGCAATTGAGGCTACAAATTTAAATTCTGAAGTCAGTTAAATCAAGCATTATGCATGACTCCTACTTCAGATTTTTCCAATAAAAAATATTTCTCCAACCCACTCATTAAATAGGTACCCACAACTGATGTCATGCAGAATCTTTCCCT